CTTCTCTTCTCTTCTCTTCTCTTCTCTTCTCTTCTCTTCTCTTCTCTTCTCTTCTCTTCTCTTCTCTTCTCTTCTCTTCTCTTCTCTTCCCTTCCTGCTTATTTTTTCTCCCAGAATTTTCTTTGACTACACCTTTCTGGATCTTCACATGGTCTCTTTCACGTAGCAATTTATTTCTCCATATTCTTGGGGCACAGTTAGGAATATGTTGGAGGTTGTTTCTGGAAAGGAGTAAATTAATGAACAGATTGAAATAGGTTTGGTGAGCTCTCTTCCTTCATGATGTCGAACACCTTTTTTTATTAATCCAACACTAACATCTGTATTAGAAAACATTTGATTTGCAAACAGGTTCAAGGCAAGTGCTGTGCATATTCATGCAAATGCATAATTGCATATGCAGTCATGCTGGGAAATTCCTCAAAGGCAAACTGAGAGCCTTGCCATAGTTTGTTGTCACCTTTGTTATAGTATTTGACATTAAAAAACATTCAACCTGTAAGGGGCTCAGTAGATTTTTATTTTAAATACTTTTTGTGCTGAAACAGTAAATTCTAAAATAGTAAAATCTAAAAGGAATGTTTATATACTTGATGGGGAGGTTAACAAATGATAAATAGACTTCATGATCTGCTATGTAGGAAGATATGGCTGTCAGTGTAGGAGCAAAGGAGGTTATCATGGCCCCACTGACTCTGCAAGTTAAATTATATCATGTAAATAGCAGAAAATGCATTGAGGATATTTGTAGTAATTAATTTTAGATTTGATTGACTACTGATCTGATCAGTTTAACTTTAATAAACAGCTACCATAAAATAAATAACAATATTTAATAATTTAAAAATTTAATCTCTTTTTTTTCATAAGGTTTTTCTTACTATCTGTAATGGCCAAAAAATCCTTTTATCTGCTGTTTCTAGATGTTATTGGGTTGTTTCTTAAACTGTATTCACCAACAGCATTCCATGTCCCAATGGCATTACTTAAAAACAATGCAAACTTTGCATTTTAATTACTATGTGCATCCTATTGACCTCCTATCTACTTTATGCCAGCTTCATTAATAACTGATGCCTAAGTTGCTCATCAAATTCAGTAATGAGCAGTTTTAGTTTCTGAAATGAAATTAGGGTTTTTTCCCACGTTTTTGGTGCAAAAGCTATTTCAAATGCATTAGAAAAAGTAAAATTGGAATAATGTGTCTTCATGAAGAGGAAATTTACTTGTTGGGGTGTGAATATGTGTAAATTGGGCCACTGTAGTCTATGTTTGTCGTATAAACTTTAATCTACCCACTGTTTCCCCTAATATCCTGATAGACATATTGAGGAGCAGGAGCTCGATAAAGGGGACAGGGAGATGGGCTGAAAACTGGCTGAACTGCTGGGCTGCAAGGGCAGCAGGAGCGTGGAGTCCAGCTCCAGGCCAGTCACTAGAGTTGTCCTCAGTACTGGAACAAAATACTGTTTATTACCTTCATCTGTGACCTGGATGCTGGCACATCATGCACCTTCCACAAGTTTGCAGATGACACAAAACTGGGAGGAGTAACCACTGATAGGCAAATGACTGTGCTGACATTCAGAGGGATCTGGACAGGCTGGAGCAATGGACAAAGATGAGCCTCGTGAAGACCAAGAAAGAGAAACACAAAGTCCTTTCCATGGGAAGAAATAACCCTGGTGCACGCACCAGTCCATGCTGGAGGCTGACCATCTGGAAATCAGCTTGGCAGAGAAGGACCTGAATGCTCTGATGGACAAGTTGGCAGCAGTGAACCATAGCAGCAAAGAAGACTAATCCTTCCCTGCTGTTCTGACCTGGGAGGACACATCTGGATTCTGGATTCTGGATGTTGTGTTTGGCTCCACAGTACAAGAGAACACAAGGAAATATGGCAGTGACTTCAGTAAAGGGCCTCAAGGATGATTAAGGAACTGGACTGTACAAAGAAAAGCTAAGAGCTTGGGCTGCTCAAAGAAGGCTCAGACACAGATATATCAACACTTAAACAGAGCTGATGAGGACAGTAAAGGAGTCAGAGCCTCCCTCTACTCAGAGACACCCAGTGACAGGATCAGAAGTAATGGGCACAAACTGAAGCACAGAAAATTCCATCCAAACACACAAAACCACTTTTACACTGTGAGAGTGATGGGGCACTGCAACAGTTTTCCCAGAGAGATGATGGAGTCTCCCTCCTTAGAGATAAAAAAACCAACTGCACATGGCCCTGAGCAGCCTGCTCTGGTCTGTACTGTGTTTGAGCAGGGGCTGCACTGCACAAACTCCAGAGGTGCTCACCAGCCTCAGCCATGCTGGGATTCCATGAAGCTGCAAGGTGAGTACTGTCCTGCAGGTGCTCTGACGTGAAGAGGGCACCCAGATTTCCCCTTTAAAATAATACAGAATCACTCCAAACTCAGTGATATAAATGAAGCCTAAGGGCTTGCCTGAGATGTTAATGTTTTTGCCAAGGGTAGAAACACCGCATAAAATAAATTTAAAGTCTGACAGCTTACAGAAATAATTTACATATTTTATGAACTTCTAAACACTCAGTATATATGTATGCTAGAGTCTTAATTTTAATTGTATTAAATTAGTCAATATTTTCTCTTTAATTTCTGATTTAATGTAGACACATAATTTGTAGTAAGTCTGGCCAGCAGGTGAAAAGAAAACAACCTTGTTTATGAACCATTGAACTACTAAAACAAGAGGTATTAACATTATTGAGAAAGTAGGACAAAAATATATGATCATGCTGACCGTACCTGGAGTGAAGAAATAATCCCCTACCTACTTACAAGTTTACACTCTTTAGAAAATAAACACAGATACACAGAATTTGATGTCATTAAATATATATGCATAAAAACAATTATAGAAATAGTTCTTAACACTATTTTAAATGACTGTCATTAGCAATAAATAAAGTAAAAATGCATCTGAAAATATCAATAAAGTATGATAAATATTTTTTCTAGAGGTTTAAAATGCATTTAATCTTTTCAGTTTGTAACCTCAACTCTCCAAGTTTCTGCTTTGGTGATGTTAATGCTCAGTTGCACTGTAAATGTTCAAGCTTTTCAATTCAGCTCTGAACTCAGCCTTGACAGAACAATTTATCAGTACAGTAAATATCCACTATGATGGATACTATTAATGGACATGTCTTTTTAATACTTTATAAGCTGTTATATGAAATTAAACCTTTATTTACCTCTTTGCAACATTTTATTGAGTTATTTTCCAACCTAAACAATTCTCTGATAACTTAGTTAGGAATGTTAAAATTGGGAATGGCTAATGGGAAGAAGAGTTTGATCTTCTTATGCAATTCTTCTACAAATAAGACACAATGTGCTAGAAAGTTGATTTTCCTTTAGCTTAAGTTCATGTAACTAACGGAGCTGATCAAAATACATAAAAACACCAATGGTATAATTTTATTGTGATTATTCTGGTGATGTCAGGTATTTTCATTTTCTCTTTATTAAGCCAAATAATTTAAATATATGAAAATCTTTACTTAGGAAATTTGTAGGTTTAATACTTAGAGGTGAGATGGATAAAACCAATGAGCAGACAAGTTTTAGTTTTTTATTGTATTTTTGAGGCATTTAGATTCCCTTGATGATAATAATTCCTAGGATGATAAAAATGTTTTCCAATGGCAGAAGAGAAGTCACTACAGTCTCTACTTTGCTTTCCAGATCCTATCAGATGTACTGTACTTACAGTAATCATGTGGAAGATATTATGGCAGTTGTTATAGGTTAGGTGTGATTCCAGTTACAATGCCGGCACAGGATAAAAATTTTTAAAGCTTCAATTTGAGACAGCAAGAGACTGACATGAAAACTGAAGACATGAAGATGATGATCGATAGACATGATACCACTTAAAATGGCAAAAGCAGAAAAACTCATAAAGCAACAAGAAAGGAATGGATGACCTTGTAAAAAGGCACAGATAATAATCTATAATCTATAATACCAGCTGCAACTGGGAGTGTGGGTCTGCAATGTGTAAGCACAAGTATCATATATTTTTTCTGTGTAGGGGAGTAAGAAAGCGATTTGAACTGTAATTTCAAATTTCACACACAGGGAGTGAGTTATTGTAAATAATTTTAGGGCCCAATTCTTGAATGAACTTGAGAAAGAGGTTAAAATAGCTTTGAGAGGTGAAGAATAAAATAGTCCTACATGTAACTGAGGATATTTTCACTGAGACCTTTTATCAGCATCCTGCTAGCTTCAAAAATGTGAAAGACATGTGCAAATTACTTGACAATGCAGAGAAAAAAAAAATTGTTCTAGTCTAAGTTTTTGATCTCTTTAATCAGTATAATAGGAGAGTGACCAGAATACTGTGGTTCAACTGCTACTGAGCTTTGACCAGAATATAATATTGTCAAAATTCCATGAGAAGGTGATACTTGCATTTCTCTTTTGAACTTCCTTTGTGCACTTCTGTGTAAGGCAGTTTAAGAACTTCCTCTTTTGCTCAAATGTTCATTGCCTTTTCCTACATATTCCAAAAGATATACTTGAGTCTCTTTAACTATCAAAAGTATTGTTCAGATTTCTGGAGCTAAAGTAATGCTGTGTATTAGTAAGCAAGTTAAGTGGAGGCAGATAACATCTACTTTAGAATCCAGCCAACAACATCTGTGAACTCTTCTAAGAATGGCTTGATCTTTTTAGTGACAGAACTAGCTGGGAAAGACTGGTTGCTTGTAATAATATTAGAAATTAACTGAATAATTGATTGTGTTAGCATATCACTCACTATTCTCTTGAGCTAGGTCAATGCAGCACTGTCAGGAAATACATCCCAAAGACGAAGAATTATTTGCAATCTTTTCTTTGCTGCTTGCTGGGCTGGCATGCCAGATATTTTTCCAAGAGTACCTGGATGAGATAAGGAGGCAAGGAGGATTTTGGGTGACAAGAGAACTGCCTGATGTAATCCACAGGTTGGGCATGACTGAGGTTAAGAAGATCCAAAGGGAAAATACAGTTGCATAATGCCTAGTTTTAAATTTTTCCATTCCTAAGCTGACTTCCTCAGGTTAGAGGTGTGCACTGGCCACGCATCTCCCTCGATGGACAAAATCCTTTGCTAAGATAAACACAGAAATTTCCAACTAAATCTTGGCTTTTAGCCTTTAAAGGGCATTGCACCATGTAAATAAAACTCAGTCCATAAACTGAGGAGGAGAAGGTATCAGAGTGGCAGGGAAGTATCAGGGACCTCAGCAGGGAAGGTAAAGACACATTTGATGCTGAATCAGACCTGAAGTCTATTGGCTTTTAAATAGATTGGGTTCGAAATATCAAAATGTTTCTTTTCAATATATTTGAAATTCGAATGAATATTTAAGTTTGGTTCATGACAGACTTGGCTGGCTAGCACAATAAGAGGTACAGACCTGTTATAAAAATATGCCATAACTCTGGAGTTTTGTATGAACAATAAATAGCATATAATAATGACTATTAACTACAAGGGTTCTCGCCAATGGCAAAATACACATATTTTCTTTTGAACTGTATGAATGTTCTACTGAACGCTTTATTTTCCCCAAGTGACCTTGCAACACATTGCCACTCCAGCACTTTAATAATTTAGCTCAACTGCTGAACCATAGCAGCAAAGGTTTTCAAAGTATATGGGTGCATTGTTTATGTTTGGTTACAAAAAACAAACAGGATCCAGCTGCAGTCTGCCAACACATGGCTTCAGCACCTGAATATTGGCTATGCATGATTAACAGATACACGTGGACACTGGGAGTCATAAAAGAGAGCAGAAAATACAAGGGGAGAACATTTGCTGCATAAACCCCATCAAAATCTGCCTTTGTAAGAGACCAAATGCAAACTGTTGTTATCCTGTTGAAATCACCCTACAACCCAGCAGTTAAAGTACCTACAAAACTGAAGATGTTTTATTTCTGTTTTTAGCTAGTTGCAAAAAATAAGGATTTTTGCTTCCATCTGTCAGGAAGTTCATATTGATCAGATTGAATCACTTATGCAACATAAAGTCCTTGTGGGACATCCCAGCACAGCCTTTTGCATGCACGTCCACAGCAGATTGCAAATCACACAATAGCTAAATTCTCACAATGTACTGGTTGTCCAATTTGGATCTAATCCTAAAGAAATATGCCCAAATTCACAGAAATACTGGGCACCTGTTTATCCACTCTGAGCATCCCTGCCACTGCTTGCAGATCCCACAACCCTTGCCTTGCTTTCCTGTATTGCATCAGTAAATTAGTGACAGGCCTGTCCACAGATAGCAAAACAAGGGCTGAACCCTGCCAGGCTCCTAATGGAAAGACACTCAATTCCATTTTGGCCATAAATATAAATCACAGAGAATAATTCATTGAAAAAAAAAAAAAAAGGGAAAAAAAAAAAAAGAGTGACTGCCAAACAACTCTTGGAAGCTACTCAATGGCCCTTGCTTTTACAGCAAACATGATCCCAAATATCATTTATAAATTACTCTCATACTGTGTCATAATTTAGCATTCATCCCACTTTTGGGGGACACACGCAGCATGTAATTTCAAACCATGTGAGAATTATTGAGAGAGCTTTGCAATGTCTGAATAGTTACAATTTTTTGCAGCCCTCTTTGGAGACCTTACTGTTGGTGCACAAGCAGGCTCGTTTGCACACCTGGTTTTATCAGAACTGATTCCTGCAACAAGAGCCTGCAAACCCAGCAGCACTCCTGCAGTCAAAACCAGAGGAGCAGCTGTTTTCATGTGTTCATGCAGCAATTTTGTCTTACTTTCCGTCACAAAATCTGCAGATTTTCATAGTTTTCCTCCAATGAGATCTACTTATCTAAGTTATCTAAAATATTGTCAATACTATACAAAGAAAAAAAAAAAGAATCCTTTCTACATAACCCATATGCAAATAGCAGAAAACTTATTTCTACTCCATAGATATAAACTGATATGTTCTAACCTGTTTTAAAACTTTACAGATTTTCATTTCTATATATGCTTAAGAATATTAGCCCAGTCTTTACTTTCCCATGGCAACAAAAATGGAATAATGAAATCCAGGCCTAATGGCACTATAGATTTTCACTCCAGTAAACCTGAAGCTGCATGATTTGCCACTCATGCATTTATCTATATATGGTAAAGTGAGTAAACACCGCATAAAATATATTTTGTGCTTCCTCGGTTTTGGACAGATTAGCACAAATTAAATTTCACACTAATCTGCCCATGGTCAGGAGTGCTACATTAGGAGTGAGGGGGATTCAGCTAATTGTGAAGAATATTTTTCTCTAATAAAATGATCAGTGAATATAGCAAATCTATTCTGGAGTGCTACCTTTACCAATATGGCCTATCAATATTGAATCAATAAATGATGAAGAAGAATATCTGTATGCAGAAATATGTCATATTTGTCAGTATTATTTTAATTTGTTCACCAAATTCGAAATAAGTTTTCTTCTCAATATTTTCAGATGGCGTTTTCAATATTCATCATTTAGGTTACATTGCTTAGTTATGTTTGACTGCCCAAGTCACGTGGCATTTGAGTCACATAAGTCTGAAGAATACACTGAACTGCCAGAAGAGGGAAGTCCAGGATCAGAAGTTCGTTTCTCTGAACAAATGTGAAAACCCTACTACTAATACTACCCTGTTTTAAAGCAAAATTTCTGAAACAGGATCGTGATAGGCATTGAGGAGAAAGTAGCATGAATACTTATAACTTCTGCCACTCCAATGTTTATCTGATTGTTTAAAAAATCCGGGTAATTGTCTAAAGAAAATGTTATCTTTCTTAAAAATAACGAACCAGTCCTGGTGAGCCCTGGTTTTGGCTGAAGGACAAATAAAAATCCGTGTGCATTAGCACTGGCCATGCAGGAGGCAGTGCTCTTTCTTTTGACTGAGTAAAGCTCCATGGGCAGCAAGGCTGTTCATGCCCAGGGGAATTGTAATGCCCAGATACCCGACTTTGATAAGGATCTGTGGATACCTCAAGGCTGGCAGCAGCTAAACTTCTTGGAAGTCTAGACTGGAAGCAATGGAGAAGAATATCCTGAATTTTACCACAGGGATGAAGGTCTGATTGTTGTAAAAATCAGTATGCAAAACATGCCAAATATACCTGGAAATATTTGTGCTACATGGTAGGGAAACTGAGATAAAAAAGTACTGATAAAAAAAATCCTTTTGTACACCTTACTTTCCCACAACGAAACTTCATGTACATTTGTAAGTCAGGTTTCTTTTCTGACTTTTGAGAAAGCATTACATAGTTAAAAATCAGGAATGGTGGTATGCAAAACACTGATAAATAAATGGTAACAACTCCCCATTCTCTTCAAACAGAGAATTCTATACAGTTTCTGAGTAAGCAAACACTACATAACTACAGAAAACACTTTAAACAATATAAAACATTCTGAAATGCATTTACAATACTCGGAATAACTTTAAACAAAAGCTGTTAAGACTTTAAATATCCAGTCTTTCCTCATACAGACTCCTCTGCGACTGTAGCTGTTGAAGATTTAAATTGAAATGCAACGCTTCAGTACAACATTTACACTTCTTCTTTAACACGCTGATTGAAACACATTCTCCCCTGATTTTTGCCGAGAGATGCCTTTTCCCCCGGAGCAGGGGCTGCCCCCGGCCGGGACAGCCGCGCCGGCGCTGGGTCCCGCCGCTCCCGGCAGGGAACATCCGCGCATCCCGACGGGAAAGGTCGCGGCTGCAGGGGAAGCTTCAGACAAAGGTTATTGGAGAGCACCTCCCACTGAGGCACGAGGTACAGAAAGGTGTCCCCCTTGCTTTCTAAACTCCTCCGAGAGGAGTCTGGGTGTGACTGGCTCCGAACATAGCGCCAGACTTTGTCAGCGATTTATGTGTAAAGGATTGTAGAGGTGTAATTCTTGTTCAGCAGAATAAAGGATGACAAATCAAACGTATTTATATAAAAATAAAGGATTTACTATGAAAATTATAAGACAAAAAGAACTTAGAATTATTTATTACACAGTATATGTAGCTATAACTACAAGTATAGTACAGTGCACAATTTTTGAAACAATGTTGAAGCAATTATATTAAAACTAGCAAAAGCAAGTCGAGAATGCTATTACTCATCCCATACCCATGTGTGGGCAGACTTCTTTTGTTCTGCCTCAAGAAGTAACCTTCAGGGGCATCCCCACTCAAGACAGATATCTCCAAACACGCTCCAAGAAGGGATATATTGGAAGTTAGAACTTGGGACTGGGCGTTTATAGACACTGTCATTCATATGTCTCCAAGCCAGCTTTGTCAGATCAGCATCTTTAAATAATTTATCACTTGTATCACTTATTGGTTCCTTTATCAGGTATTTTATCAAGAACATTGTTCTTCCTCAGAATGATTAACTTTGCAACTGATGAGTCAGGCTGGTTTCATCCTTCTTCAACACCAAAAGAATGTGATACTCCCTTCTCTCTTCACCACTGGTAGCTTGGCAAACAGGATACTGTTCAAGTTGTTTTACCCCCACTCCAGGCAGAGCATCCTGCTTCAGATTCTCAGACAAATCTCAGCTAGAAAGGATTCCCGGGCCTCTTTTAACACTTACATTGGTGATTCTTCTGCATTGCACAGTAGCTTGTCTTGCAGAGGATGACTGGAAGTGAACTGTGGGGAAACATCACACTGGGGAACACTGCTCCTCACCTTCAGAAGCAGCCACTGCTTTGCAAAACTATTACCATCCACTTCAGTTTGGTGCTTAGGTCCTTCTCCATTATTTCCCCAGCTCCATATTTTGTTCAGAAATATGGGGTCTCACCAGTGAAAATAATGAGACACTGGTTTTGATCCTTCCTTTGCATCCAAGAAAAAACAGTAATTCAACACAGGGTATATTCACACTGGTTTTCCTTTTCATGAAGGGGGGGTTGCTCCTTCCACCACTTCAGTGAGCATTTCAGCTCTGTTCCAGGAAATAAAACATGGTTCTAAGATAGCAGTCACTCAGCTTAACTGATTATCAGAACATTTGCAGGAATCTGATTGCCATCCAGTTGAATGGATTATAATACCATGAACCTCCTTGGGGAATGTCCTCTTTCAACCAGCAATAAAATTATGTTTTTTATCATCTTTTGGTCTCCACAGAAGAGCCACCAAGGTCCATTCATTGAAGTTTTCTCTCTCCCTCTTCAATGTACACCATTGCTTGCTAATGTTCAGTGTTTATCCTTTAAAACTTTGTCCCTTCCCTTTTAAGGACAATACAGCATTATACTGATGTGCTAGACAAAGAGACTGCATGAACTGGTCACATTTTTCAGCAGCAAGTCCTACTGAATTCACTAGATCATGACGACATGTAGCCTGGAATGCACATTAAGGTATTAATGGAGTGTGTATGCTTGATATCAAGTTTTCATGCTGAGCTGCACTGGTGTTAATCTAGTTTGATTACAAAGCCTAATGTAAATTCTTAGACAGATATTCTATTTTAGCTGAGAAACGAATGCTGACAGTTTACTGCAAGATGACAAATGAATGCTGACATTTTATTCTTACATGTTTATAAATCAGTTTAAAGGTTAAGAGTCATTAATGCGGGCAATCTGAAGAATCTATACACATAAACAAAATATTCATTTTTGGATAACTATGTATGTCCAACGTCATTCACAGAATACAGAAGTCAGATTAAAGAATGAGGGAAAAATTGCAAATTTATTAGTATGAGTTTATCTTTTAACTGGAAACTAAATTACTTGATTGATGGGTGTTCTGATCAAACCACAATGTACAATATGGGGGGGGGTTGTCATTTACTTTAAAAATAAAATGCCTACATGATAATTTGTAAAAAATAAAGGATTAACTCCTCTTTTCCCATATGACACACAGATATTAGAAGCACTTGCCAGTAACTGTGCCAATTTCCAGAGTGCCAATCTTCCAGGGACTCTGAAAAACAGATAATCAGTATGGTCTGTGCTAGGACACATCATAGGAATAATTTGCATTCTTATTTTTATTACACATTTTCTTGATATTACCAGAGCTAAGAAATAGTCATGGATTCCTGATCTGTTTCCAAGAAAAGGTCTAAATAGTGCTCTGAGAGGAGCACAAATTCCAGTGGCAGTTTTTAATGGCCAACGAGGACTGCCGCAGGATGAGAAAGGAAGCGTGGCAAGCAAGAATTATCTATGGAATTTACTAAAATTCTGATGAACACAGTCTAAATGAGAATGCCTTATGCTCCATGCTAGACATATGCACCATGGAGGATATGAGTACCTTCTTTACCATATTCTGACATTTTTTTAAAAATGCAAACAGGTTTCTCTGTAAAGGGTAATTCAGGTCAATACCAACTATTAAAAATGTGAAATGAAATTGGCTTTGTGAAATACAAGACCAAAATCCTGGAACAACTTCTGGACATGATAGTACAGCAAACTGAATGTCAAAACATTCATCATTGTTTTTCCTGGGTGCATGACCTGCATGGCACACTTTGTCACATACAGTCCAGATCCCAGTGGTTTTCCAGATATTTATATGATTTTCCTGATACAAACATGGTATTTTGCATATTTTGTTACCCATTAGTTACCGAATCAGACTTTCAGAGCTAAAATACATGTCTAGAATATTTTGACTTAATATATGTACATATGTATTTGTGTTGTATATATATGTGTGTATATATAGGAAGCGTTACACAGAGTACTCGTAAAATAACTATGGTCAAGGAAAGCTGAGAGCAGAACTTTGAATATTCTTTGACTGTTTCTTTCAAACAATTTGCTTTAATTTCTTAACATTCTTGTGTCACCTGAATCAAAATTGCTCAGAATTAGTTTTCTGAACACTTCCTGCTTGTTTTGTTTTATAAATAACCAGTTAGGGAAATGAATACCATTCAAATTCAGAAATCTATTTTATGTTAAGTAGCAGACAGGCTGCTTGGTGTTTGTCAGGAAAGTCACTCCTGAGCTTACTAGTGCAGGACCACCTTCCCTTCCTCAGAGGAAAGTCAGAAAATGAAATCTGCAGCTCAGGTCTAGGAAATGTTCAGACCAAACATCATTGTTACACAAAAACTTCCACTGCAAAACATTCAAAGGTTTAACAACAATTAAAAAAATAGAAAAAGAAAAAAAAAATACAGAGCATTGCTAAACTGAAATTCACTTTCAAATTCAGGACACTTCTCACTGCCTTCTTCACAGCTTTTTTATACTACTTCTCAAGATGCCAGCTGGCATTCAGACTGTTGTTAGGAAAAGTTTAGGGGATGAGCTATTGACAGACAGTAAATCTTGGTAAGTAAGGCTTTTTATTTTACCTCTACAAGGATGTACTGCTTTTTCTCAGGAAATCACATGCAAGCCATTC